AAAAAAAGTAACAACTTGGAAGTGGTGGTGGAACCATATTGATAAGAAAATAAAGCTTCACAAGACATGATGATATTTCAAAATGAAAAATCTGGTCTTGCAATTTGGAGTGAACCAAACTATAAATTAAAAACTGTCAAATAAAAGAAAATTTTTTAATATTAAAAAATTTAATTTTCTTATAATGAATGATTTAAGTTATACAGTTGTACAATAATTCTTTTTGTTTCCAAATTGAATCTTTTTCCTTGGGCAAGCAGCATCGGGCTTCGAACTCCATTTTCCTGACCACTTGCCGGATCGCAAGCCCAGGCCAGCTGAGCTTTGTAAGATAGTCAATTCCTGGGTCAGCTTGTTGGACAATAACTATGATCTATGAATGTGGACTTATGGACCTAATCCCAACTTTCATTTTGATATTGGCCCAACTTTTTGAGGTTTAAAAAATTGACCCAAATGAAATGGTACCCAAAACTTTCCTTCCTGGTCCTCATCCATAAGTCATTGCTTCTTCTTTTCTTTTTTTTTCTTTTTTTTTTTTTATCATCTTAGAATAACTAGAAAGACAATATTTTTCAAGTCCCTTTCGCCTCTGCCACATATTTGAAGATTCAAACTCAATAATTTTAATTTAGAATTTAGAATTTAGAATTTTTATTAATTGTACTAACCACAAAGGAGAAAAAAAAAAACTTTTTTAAGACATAAGAAGATTTGAGAAGCTTTTATTTTTATTTTTTTAAGATTAAATTATCAAGTGAGGACTTAGTGTTATTATTTTAACATGTTTGGGTATGTTCTTTTGGTTCCATTACTAAATCAAAAATTGTTTAATTTAAAAGTTTAAATCGTAAGTTGAAAGTTCAAAATTAATATTATATTTAATCATAAGATGGCGAAGTTCAAAATTTTTTTGCCTAATCTTAACAAGGAGCTTTTAATTAGTTTCTTTCACTTGAGGAGTTTGGACAAACTTAATTACAAATTAGTTGATGGATTTGGCACCGAGCTAACATGACTTCCTCCTTTCTCATGTAGAAGCAAAAGTTAAATGAAAGAGTTAAACAAAAGAAAATGGGTTTATAATGAAAGTCTATCGGGTTGCTTGGGCCTTGCTTGCTTACGCATTTTAATTATGACCCGTTATATTTGGGTAAATAATAAAACTCAATTCATCCAAAAATCACCTTCATGGTTTTACTTTGCTTACAGTATATATGGATGAAGGGGAATGGAAGAAGGGAGGAGAAAGAAAAAAAATTTCTTATTTAGTTATTAAATAAATTAAAAGGGAGTGGAAGGGAATTTTTTTTTTCATTTTTTCATTTTAGTTATTTATTCAAATGATAGAAATAAAATGGAGAAAATTTAATTTATATTATTTTATTTTTCTCAATTTCTTTCAACCAGACATAAAGTTGATCCTCTCATCTTCAATTTTTATTATATAAACAAAAAAAAAAA